ACCCTAAATTACAAAAGGATCCCTAATATGATTTAAGGCATTATAATAGGATCCCTAATATGATTTAAGGCATTATAATAGGATCCCTAATATGATTTAAGGCATTATAATAGGATAGGATCCCTAATATGGTTTAAGGCATATTCCTTGGACCGAGCAGATGATAATCCAAACGCTGCTCATAGATACGCAAAGCTGCTCGGAAATCGGCCTCGCTCGAGAACCCACTTTTTTAGAAGCTGCCCCCACCCTGTAATAGTGATTATGAGGATTATATTAGGGCCCGACTATATTCCTATCATACTACTATGAAAGGGTGGGGGCCCCTTCTAACCAATTCCCCGTTATGGTTTCCCGAACATCAACTCCATCATCCAAGGGATCGAAGAGATATTATCCTTCACCATGAACTAGCAAGTACAAAAACAAGCCGGCTGGAAAAGACACGTACGGATGGTAACATCAGGGCCTTCGTGGAACTCGTGCCGAAGCGAGGCTGTCAAGTCTGTGCAGAGTGTCACGCAGACGCTGGGACGAACTGCGCACAAACTCCAAACTCTAACCTGCCAAGCCCTAACTCAAAACTCCCATCCCTAAACCCCAACCTGTTCCGAGAAAACTTAAACCCTGGCTCTAACGTCAAACCCTAGTATAGGGGCCTTAATAATCAGAACAGGGTTCTGGACTCCTTCAGAGTATAAGTATAATTAGGAACCCTCAGAACAATATTGGTAGCTATTAGACTTCTACATTGAAACCCTGACCTAAAAAGCCCTCAGAGGCGCGGACAATGAGCTGTGGCCCGAAAATCTGTGGCGCAGCCAAGGCCTCGGGCGAAGGGTTCAGGGTTCAGGGCTTAGGGTGGAGGGTTCAAGCGTTTCGGGTTTAAGCTTTAGGGTTCAGGTGTTTAGGGTTTAGGGTCTAGGGATTTGGGTTCAGGCGTTTAGGGTTTAGAGTGGCTAAACATTGCAAAATGAAAAGGAAAAGATAACAAAGTAATTAACTTTACGGACAGCTATCGTAGCAGTAGTGGGTTTCAAAGCGACATCACCATGATAATAGTAATAGCAGTATGCAAAAACACAGACAATAGAAGGTGTAATATGTGCCCTGTATAATGTATTTCATAGTGCATGATATAAGATGTGAAACAGAAACTATGTGTGTGTGTGTATATATAAACACATGTACAGCATAAAATTGGAGTAACTAATATCTAGTGCCTCAAACGCAATACATAGTACAGACTGTATAACATGAGGTATGTTGTATAAAAAATAAATACATAATAAAAATAAATAAATAAGTAAATAAATAAATAAATAAATATATATATATATATATAAATATACATACATATATATATATATATATATATATATACATATCTACATATGTAACAAGCAGCATAAAACAGCACATAACAGTACTATAGAAAGTATATAGTATATAGCATGTAATATAGAGTGAATAGTAAATAGCATGCAGTATAGAGGTTATAGTTTATAAGAGACAGTATATACTATATCGTATATACAGTATATAGAAATTATAGCATACAGCGTACACGTACGACTGAACATATGATGCATGCATTTTAAGTACTAGTATAAAACCTTTGTTGCATTGTACTCCAGGTTTTAACTTATATACACTGGACACTTACGTACAGTGTATAATGTTTGTGGTACAACAGTAGCAAATTTGACATATCAAAAGGTGAAAATAAGAATAACGGTAGTGAAATAATGTTAATAATACTGGTAAACATGGTAGTACTGATCGTGAAAACAATACTACTAAACAACAAACAGATAAGTAGACATAGTAACAACAGTCATATCGATACATATAATAGTAATGATAACTACTAATGATAACGGCAGTAATCATCGTGAATGAGCGGGCTGTGTGAGTGTTTCAGTGGTTTAGGGTGTGGGAGGAGGGCAGGGTTTGCACTACGCGGATAGTACCAGTTGCGCCACACGTCGGAAAACTTACCATTGGATAGTAGGGAATGGAAGAAGGGTGGTAATAGTAGCTATACTTGTACCCCATTCCTCCATTCCCTACTAACCAATGGTAAGAAAATGATGCTTTTGGAGCCCGGGGGTCAGCCTAGGGTTCTGGGCAGCATGATGAGGGAGACCCCTTAAAGGGCACCCCTTCCGAACCCTACTTATGGCTCTCTTAAAAGGGACCCTTACTGAGAGGGTCTATATCCCCGAGGGTCCCCCTAATCATAACTCCCAGGTTCAGGGCCTAGGGGTTTAAGGGTTTAGTGTTCAGAGTTTAGGATTTTAGGGTGTAGGGCTTTACGGATTAGTGTATCAGGGGAAAGCTTCCTGGCTTCAGAGGGCCTGACCTGTGTAGTGTCACGCATGATTACTCTTGCTGACGCTGATGCCGGATCTGGTATATGGGCATATAACCCGTACTGCATAAGTAATATACATATATATTATGCATACAACATATAGGTAGGGTAAAGTTAGATTAGCTTGATCAGGTCCTCCTTGTACGCCGCACCACGCTCGCCCTGCTCCCTCTTCTGGGCCGGAATCGTTTAAGCCTTCTTCTTGATACTCTGACTAGGTTCCTGAGTAGCCCCTTTATCATAAAGGGTACCCTTTTTCCTACTATTCGAAATTAATAAAGGGCCCCTAACATATGAAGGGCAAAAAGGTACTACTCAGGAACCTTAATAATCCGGTTGATACGGCAGTAACTGTAAATTTGGTACGGCTTATGGGTCATGAAGCGCTTCAGTCACTAGAAGCCGAGGCAAGTGCTGACTGGATATCCTTCTGGGAGAGCACCTCCGGGCACGGCAGAATCCACATCAAGCCCCAAGCTCAAAACCCTAGATACACTTTAGGACCTTAGGTCCTTGAGATTCAGGGCTTCGAGTGCCAGCGTAGGGTTTCTCGCCTGCGGTTCGGTGACAGAAAGACGATGACGACCACAGTGCAGAGTAGCCATTGCGATAACGAAAAAGACTGAAGATGAGGCCTGAACCACTTGCTAGGTTGGCCCCTTACAGCCTCTGAAAAATATTCGTAAATAGGGTCCCGTTAAGCCCAATAAGGGAACCTTTTAATGTCCCAAAGGCCAACAGAGCTTGGTCCGGACAAGCCATCTGCGGCCCCAAGAACCAAAACCCTCAATCCCAAACCTCAAACCCAACAAGCTCATGGAGAATGGGTCCCTGACACCCTTAAAGACCAGAGCACCAGTGATGTGTATTAGGGACTCGAAAGAAAACATGCACGTAAGGTTCTCACATCCAAGGCTATACAAGGCCTTGTGCCCTAAACACAACAGATCTGGCTCTAAACCCCGACGGGTAGAAATCCTGTACTCCAAAGCACCATGTCAAAAAACCCGAAGCCTCAAACCCCCAAACCGCCCAACCCCAACCCTAAAGGCGGGCCTGAACGTCGGAGATCTTGATTCGGAATTCGACCTCCCGGCTGAGTGCTTCTGTTGATGATACAAATCCTGCATTACCTGAAGGACCCTAAACCATGGAATTATGGTATATTCCTTATTGTGGGTAATGCAGGATTTATATCATCAACCGTTGCGGCCGGGTCGGAGCATTCAAGGAAGGCGTCAGGTTTCCCGTCAGGGTACTAGAATAGGGCTGCTAGAATCAGGGTACTCTAACAAGGGCAGTATGGTGGTGTCACCGAAAAAAGGGTGCAAGAAGAAGGGTATCACAATCAAGGGATTAAAATTTGATGAGGGTGTACGGTGAAGGTGGGATTTGGGTGCTGAAGGCTTAAAGGTGAGAGATTATTAGTTTTGCAATGTGTGGGCTTCAGACGGGGTTATGCATTTGCATGTCTTTGATTTATAGGGGCCAGTCTTGTTGAGCTTTTGTTTCTCACTGGTGACAGCTCCGTCTGATGATTGGAAGCGACCTGTAAGCAGCCGGTAGGTTTTGAGTTTGCCGTGAATCTTCGATATCCGACTTGTTTTGTTTTTAATCGGGCCTGAATGTATCCCTGACACTTTAACTCATGATAGACATATTGGGTTCTGTGCACCAAACTACATTATGGCAGCTCAAGGTACCGCAAACGTGAAGCAACTTAAAGTCGACTTCTCGGTGTTCTTAGGTCAGAAGCAAGAAAGCTTTGCAAAGGCCCATTTTGCGCACCCGCACCCATGGCGCATGTGTTCTGCGCCAAGTGGCCGCAAGAAAGCTTCCACCGGCTAACTCCCTCTCTCCACACCCACACAAAGAGGGATCTAGATACAAACTGAGAATCTGCTGTTCACGAAACTCAGCTAACAAGCAGCAATAGGTACTAGTAGTAGTAGTAGTAGTAGTAGTAGTAGTAGTAGTAGTAGTAGTAGTAGTAGCAGTAGCAGTAGCAGTAGCAGCAGTAGTAGTAGTAGTAGTAGAAGTAGTAGTAGTAGTAGTAGTAGTAGTAGTAGTAGTAATAGTAGTAGTAGTAGTACCAGTTTGTGGTAGTAATACGCTCTCAAAAATCATGGCACTGACGAGATCGCTCGAACCGCTGAACCTTTGGTTTGAGAGCCTTACCACTGGACCTTCTCAGTTCGAAACCTTATACTTGGAGGATCATGGGACTTAGTAAGTAAGGTTTAGGAATCCTTAAAAGGGATCCTTAAAGGGTTCCTTTAAGGGATCTATAGGGGTTGGGGTTTAGTGTCTACTTGGAGGATCATGGGACTTAGTAAGTAAGGCTGAATTGGGGTTATAAGTACAGTTACCCTAATTACAGCCCTAGTTACTAAGTCCCATGATCCTTTAAGTACTCTGCCTTGAATGCAAAATACTACATTGCAAATTGCAAAGCCCAAACAAGTTGCGGACTCTCGTCACTTTAACACTCTTCAACACCTAAAAGCTTTTAACACCCCTTACTACATTGAGGATTTTTCTCTCTCCGGCTACAAACATATATATATATATATATATATACATATATACATGGCCCGAAAAGCCCCGAATCACCAAACATCTCTCACCCTTCGTCAGGGGTATCTCCCGGCATTCCGGGCAGCTCATCGAGCAGGTCGGCCAGGAAGGCCTTGACCGTTTCAAAGGGGAGAAGGAGGGACCCTTAATTTAGGGCCCTTAGGGTTCCTTTAAAGGGATCTATAAGGGTTAAGGGTTTAGGGTTTAGGGTTGATTCAAAGGGGAAAAAGAGGGACCCTTAATGGGGGACCCCTAGCCTATAATGGGCTATAATTATGGGTATATAATCGCTAATTTACGGGCCTTGGACCGTTGATACTCATGATTTGGCCTGAGGGTCTATATCCCCGAGGATCCCCCTCATCCTGACTCCCACCTCTGGCTGGGTCTAGGAATTTAGGGCTTCGGGATTTAGGAGTTTAGGGTTTAGGGGTTTAGGAGTTTCGGGTTTAGGGGTTTAGGAGCTTCGGGTTTAGGGGTTTCGGGGTTTAGGCCTTAGGGCTGGCGAATATGGGCTGTATAGTGTTGCACATGAGGCATAAATAATGATACCATTTCTTGATTTCTTGATTGAATAACGAGGATGAGGGGGATTTCCATTTGGGGTTGTGGACTTACGACTTCTGCGGCTTCCTGCCTGGGGAATGAGGCTCCTACATCCTATGGGCACTGCGGCGGGAAAAGTAATAACGACAAGATTGCTGAATGCACGCGTTTGTGTGTTTCTCTGCGCTCTTTCTAGCAATAGTTTCTCTCCACCTCGGACAATCTTAGCAGCAGTACTAGTGTTAACACTCTAAAGCAAGTACAGTGTTAGTACTGCGTAAAACTAGTACTAAAACGCTAGTACTCGTACTAGTGCTACGTATTACTAGTACCAGGTTATAAAACCCTGACATACAGGCCTTAACAATGGGTTTTGGACACCCTAAACCCTATAAACCCGTGAGACCTAAACTCCATAAAACCCCCGTCGCGAGCCTGAGGCACGGCCCCTTCGCGGCGGAAACGTTGCAGCCTCGTCGCGGGTTGCACGATTATGATCTAGGGTGCTATACAGTTTATAGGCGGGGTTGTAGGGTCTTGCCTATAGTCTCCATTGTAGTTCCTTTTTTTGGTTTAGCCAAATATATAATCAGGATCCTATAAGGTAACCCCAAAAGGAACTACAATGGAGACTACAGGTGTAGTAGGATCAGACTAGGATGTTGGTGTTCAGGGCTGAGGGTGCATGGTGCAGGGGGGGACCTAGCAAGTAAGAGATAAGAAGCATGACTAGTAAAAGTACTTATGACACCCTTTTGAGGCCTAACTTTTTTCAATCCCATGATCCATTGCACGATCTTTCCTTGAAAGGTTCGACCTGTGTGCTTACCGCGCCTTTTTCAAACTATTTTTCAGACCTCAAGCGACGTCAACCGCAAGGTTTCGGCTTAGGGTTTAGGGTCTATTTAGAGCATGGCAGTATTTGGGTTCAGGATGTTGCTGTTTCACAGGCCGCTGGGCCTTTCGGATTTAGGAAACCTGAGTTGCTGAGTTCATAAGCCCCCAAAAGTGCACACTTTCAGTTTTCTGGGGGGTAATAATTATCCCAAAAAGTGTACAGCGTATCCACTCAGCTACTAAGAAACTACACTTTGTGGGTTTCGCTCTCGCACTTTCGCAACTTATGGGTGGTTGTCAAAATTATGGTCCCTTTTTGGGTCCCTTTTATAATACGGCACCTAATACTTAAGGCACCCCAAAAGGGACCATAATTTCATAATTTTGACAACTACCCTTCTAGTCTTGCTTATCCCGTTTCGGAGCGCAGGATGCCTAAGTACCCTAAAGGGTTCAGGGTTTATAGGGCTTTTTGTGGTGTATAGGGTTTTTTGGGGTTTATAGGGATTTTTGGGGTTTATAGGGCTTTGTGGTGTTTATAGGGCTTTTGGGGGTTTATAGGGTTTTTTGGGGTTTATAGGGTTTGGGCTTTAGAGGGTTTAGGGTTTATAGGGTTTGGAGTTTATAGGGTTTGGAGTTTATGGGGTTTAGGGTTTATAGGTTTAGGGGTTTAGGGTTTATAGGGTATATATATATATATATATATATATAGGCTTTAGGGTTTCTTCGGCTCTAACTTGTTGAAAGCCTGTCCTGTCTTAGGTGCCTTTTGCAGCTCAAGGGCTTCGAGGACGCAAAACATGTGAGTTCCCTTACTTACTCCATAAGCCACAGAAATGAAAGGCAAAACTTTCGGATTCCTACTACACTATAAGAGCCCAAAAAATTAAAGGTTGGGTATTGGGGATCTAAGTTCCGAAACGCCTCACTGCCAGCAACCCTGAATTCGTACGGGAACCCAAAACGCCAGACCCGATACCCTAAACCCTAAACCCCAGACCCACAAAACCCTGAACAAACCCTGAACTTCCCAAGCCCTGCAGCCGAAAACACCCAAAGTTTACAGTGTATACTGGTCCCTCCATCCACCCCCTCTTAGACCCTAAAGACCCTTTATTTGGGACCATACACCCCTATTTGAGGGCACAAAGAGGGTTCTGGTTTACCCAAACCCAAAACCCGTACCCAAAACCCAAAACCCTAAATCAAACACCCAAAACCCTATAGATCCCTTACCGTAGCCTTATGGATCCCTTCAAAGGGACCCATGTAAACCCTATAAGCCCCAAAAATAACCCTCAACCCATAACCCTAAACTCAAAACCCAACATCAAAACCCCAAAACCCTCAACCATGCTGTTGATGATGTAAGTCCTGCATTACCCACAATAAGGATTGCTAGGGTCCTTAAGGTAATGCAGGATTTATATCATCAACCGTAACTCGCTAATACTTTAGAAGCCTGTAATAGTGGTAGAATAGGAGTATAATAGGGCCCTAATATAATCCTTATAGCCACTATTACAGGGTGGGGGCAGCTTCTAACTAATACTGGTCCCAGGCTCAGCTCGTCTATTCGCGTTGGCTTCACGCCCTCGGCGCGGAGAAATGCCTCGGCCTCCGATTGAAAAGGGAAGTTCATGAGGTTTATAGGGTTCTAGGGATGTATAAGGGTTCCTTTAAAGGGATCTATAAGGGTTCCTTCAAAAGGAATTAGAAGGGTTCCTTTCAAGGGATCTATAAGGGGGTCTCTTTTGAGGTTTTATAGAGTTTAAGGTTTATAAGGGCTCCTTGAAAGGGATCCATAAGGGTACTCTAAGGGATCTATAGGGCCTCTTTCAGGACCCCCCCAAGTGCCCTTTAATGGAGCCCTTATGGTCCTTAATAGTGGGTAAATAGCGGGTATTTAAGGTATAATGAAGGGTTGTTTGGGGGTCTAGGTAGGGTTTGGAGTTTGAGTACCAGGGTTCAGCGTTCAGTAGTTAGTTAGATTTGGGTTCAGGGATTTGGGTTTATGCTCTACAGGTTGACAGGCAATTGTCCCAACTGTTTTGAAACCCCAGAGACTCCAATCTCCCTTCATTAAGCAATATTCCTTACATCATATTAGGGATCCTACAAAAGTTCAGGGTAAACTCCTTAATTAAGGGATTTTGGAGTCTCTGGGGCTCTGTATGACTGTATGTCAACTCATTATGCAGGAGAGTTAAAGGCTTCGGAGATCGGCTTTGCTTTCTCTAAGATCCTGAATTGCGCCCGGCGGACTTGCATCACGGAGTGACAGGCCACGATGGCCTACTATAGGCGCCTTAATAATTATATAATGAGATTTTAGTAAGGAGCCACGCCCAAATAGTATAGGTAATTATAGGTAATTATATACTAAGGCCCATATAATGGCCTACATGCCGATAGGAACCCAAGGGAATAATATTGGAAAGTATTTAGGCCACTATAGTACATGCTGAGAGGATTCGAGATCCGACTTCGTGGAGTGTAGGCATGTCTCGTAAGCCGGAGTAGAGAAGGATAACGTAGTGGCCTTAGTAGCTAGAATAGGGTTTTGGGGGTTCCTTGATGCAAGTGTAGCAAAATATACCACCAAGTCCTATTCTAATTATTGCACCTAGGTTAATGCACGGGGGCGAGGAACCAGTTTTTCGAAATGGAAGTACTTGTAAGAAGGAAGCTATCTAGAGACCTATAGTGTTCAGGACGATACCCTGCCAGATTCCCAAACTTCGACTTCGGTTTCGGGTCTCGGAGGGTTCGCCTTTGGAGACGCAGGCTGCTCCTTCGAGTTGCTGCACCACAAGATATAAAGAACCATTCTCAGAGCCGACTACCTCTCAATTAGGGAATCATCCGCTCTCATACTAAGAAGACAGTCCTACAACTTGAGACGAAGTCTTTAGTTGAGAGGTCAGGATTCTTAAAGGAGCCCTCAAAGAACCCCTACACCCTAAACCCAAACCCCTAAACCCCTGAAACCCTAAACCCCTGAACCCCTACATCCGGAACCCTAAACCCTTGCTGAGAAGCTCTGCTTTGCCTCTTCTAGAGGCAGACCAGGGCCAACGCCTCAAAAGTAAAGCATGGACCAGGAGTGTTTACAGTAGAAGCCCCAAAAGTTGGAAACCCCATAGCCTCAAGCCTTAAGAGAAATGTATAGGGAATCCCAGCACTACTTGGCCTTCATCCGTTTCCAACTTGCTTTAGGGTAGGGTTGAGGGTTCAGAGGCGAAGCCTCGAGATTCGAGGGTTCTGCTACGGGTTCGATAAGGATGCTTAAAGGGACCTAGAAGGGTTGCTACAGGGTTTCTAAAATTTAAGGGTACTATATGGGAGGTTGGTTGATGGCATTCTGATACCAGTCTTGTTAGACGGAGGTTTTGCTGTTAACGTTTGGTGAGTATTCAGTAAAGTATGACTAAGCATGCAGTACGTACAGCAGCCTGCGGAATCATCGTCACCTCCGAACAGCCCCGTATGCAAGCAAGCACGACAGACTTGACCTGGGTCCTTGTAAGCGACTTTAAAACGAATGCTGGGAATAACGGCCGATGCAACGCGCCCGCATTGCGACGTCACGGGACATTAGCTTCAACCCGTGCCAAGAAGAGTTCTGCCACCTCCCCGAAAAAACCTTTTGAATGTCGCATTTTCTAAAGCTGCAGCAAAAAACAAAGCCTAAGCCCCAAAACCCCTGAACCTTAAAACCCTAAACCACTAAACCTTAAACCCTAAACCCGTAAAGCCCTAAACCCCCCAAAACCCTAAACCCTGTGAATCCCGAAACGCGACCCTAAACCCAAAACTCCCGAATCCTGAGCGAAACCTGTGGTCCTCCACCGCACACTCCCCGGACCGCTTATGTCCTATACTCTACACCCGAAAACCTAGGCCCTACCAGGACCCCCTAAGTACCATTTAATAGAGCCCTTATGGTCCTTAGTAGTGGGTATGTAGGGTATTGAAACGGGTAGTTCGGGGGTCCAGGTAAACCCTTAAACCTTCAAGCCCTAAACCTCTTATAGTACCCTTTTTATGATACCCTTATCACAAGGCATAGTACCCTTTCTATGATGCCCTTATCACAGCACGCCCTCAAGCCTTAAACATAGTACCCTTTTTTCTGCCCTTTTTTCTGATACCCTTATCAGAGTACGCCCTAAAGCCATAAACCCCTCTATGTCCAGAGGCTTACGAACTTCAACGGAGCTGCTCGGGAGATGTTGCCAAGTCCTGAATGCATCGTTTGGGGACTCTTTCCCCACTCGTATAGTCAAGTCCAACAGATTTTTGATAGAGTATGCTACAGTATATAGTATAGTCCTACAGATTCCTGGTATAGTAATTATATGGTGTATACCATAATCGAGTAGAGTTCAGTACAGTATAGTCTAGTCTAGTCGGGTATAGTCTAGTATGGTATAGTATATATAGTATAGCATAGTATAGAACTTTGGTATGGCATGACAAGTATACTTTATAGCACAGGCGTAACGGTTTTGGTAAAGTACATGTACAGCATAGTGTGGCTTTCTGGAGAGAAGTATAGTTTTGGAAAATTACAGAATTCTATCCCCAAACTTTGACAAGGGATCGGGATCCGGTATCAGCCTAGGGCCTAGGGCCTAACTAGGGATCGGCTGTAGTAGAGGCAAAAGGGTTCGGAATGTACGAACCCAACCAGGCCCCCGAATCCTCAAACCTCAAGCCACACCCCACAGCGCATCTCGATCAAACCCCCATGTGCTTGCAGTACTGTAACAGCCTTCATAATTAGAACAGGGTTTTGGGGCCCGTTGTAAATACTATAAGGAAACCCCCGAGAGTAGTATAGGTAACTATTTTAGCACCCATAGATAGCATCCTCTTCTCCGCCAGCTCGTCATCGAAACCGTGGTGGAGCTCCTCTAGCAGAGCACTTCAGCGTTAGGATTGAAGGTGTTTTGCGTTTGGCGTTTGCATGGGTAGTTCTCCAAATTATAGTCCCTTTTAGAATCCTTTTTAAAAGGGTGCTGTAGTTTTGGAGGGACCAAAAGGGGACGCTGAGTGAGAGCACTACCCAAAGGGGTCTGTCGGCTTCATAAAGCAAAGCAGATGTGATTCCGGTTGCACGGCTTCGCGGTGACCTCAGACTCTCTAGCCCGCACCCTTCGATCTGATTAGGGTTCAGTGGTTTAGGGGTTTAGGGTTTAAGGCCTGGGCTCATAACTTTCTTCGTAATTTCCGGGCTGAGCCTTGCGAGCCCGTAGGCCCAAAAAAATCGATAATCTCGGTTCTTGAGTAGCCCTTTCAAAAAAGGGTAGCCTTTTCCTACAAGTCGGTTTCAATAAGGGGACCCTAAAGTAAAAAACTAGGATACCCAGTAACCTAAGAATAAAAAGGCCTCTCTTTTTGGTATTGGGTAACTTTATAAGGAACCTAGGACTACAAAAAGGGAATAAGGGTACTACTGGGCATCCTGGAAAAGGGCAAAAGGGTACTACTCAAGAACCTAGTAATAGAGGTGTTCAGACTTGGGTTCGAAGCACCCACCATCAGTTTCAAGAAGCACTACTACGGTCTGAAAACCTGAAGCCTCGATTTCTAAAGCAATGAATCCTGGAGACTCCGCAAAAGACCCGTATGCACCCTGAAGCTATGCACCAGCAACCACGTCGAAGCTCCGACAGCCCCAATCCCGAAGCTGCAATATAGGGGCCTTAACAATTCGAGTAGAGTTTTGGGGCTCATCATAATATAAACATAATAAGGAACCCAAGATAGTATAGGCAATTATGCAGGCCCCTATAGTAACACCAGAGCCCGAAGACGCCTATCGACACCCTGACCTTCTCGGAGCGCAGAGGAAGCTCCTCCACTGGCTGCCTCGCGTTGCATGAGGCTTTACTAGGGAACTCCAGAAAGTTGGAATATGGATTAATGGTTGGATCCGCTATAATTTACCTTTAGTTACGATAATGATATTCCAACTTTCTGGCTTCTACTGTACAAGGACTTCTACAAGGGATTAGCATGGGGGTTATATCTTTGTCAGGGTTCTACAAATAAAGGTATAGGGCTTGGAGTTGCAGGCTTAGCACCTTGGTCGCTGATTCCAGACCAACAACTCAACCTGGACCGCTGGAGGGTTCACAGTTTAGGACAAACAGTAGCTTCTGGTCTGGCTGGTCAGCGCTTTTGGTCAGAGTCTTGGTGTGTCTCGACGATGAACATTTCCATCATCATCAGTGCGATTGTTGTTAACTCCACCATGTAGTAGTAGTAGTAGTAGTAGTAGTAGTAGTAGTAGTAGTAGTAGTAGTAGTAGTAGTAGTAGTAGTTAAAATGATTATTTTGATGATGATTACTACTATCATTATTGATATTGTCATCAGTATTATTATGCTTGTTGTTCTTATTATTGCTAGTATTCTTTTCTTGATTTTGATTGTGACTTTTATTAAGCACAATAAGGTGTTTCTACGATCACAAACCTCACCCCCACCCCACCTCCCACCCCCTCAAAAAAGAAACAAAACACATTGACCAACGCGGCAGCTGCAACTTATGTATTATAACAAACTCGCCTTAAACACGCCCTCCACGAAAGCCGCAACCACGAAGGCGCAAATGAGCCAATCGGGTTTTCAAAGGCTGCTTGTTATACCAAACATATCGTAAGGCATCCCGAAAATAGTATAGGTAAGTGTTCAGGTCCCTGTAGCATGTGCGTTTCCATCGGGCTTTGAGAAGGATTGATCGGTTTTTACAGGGCGCCTCGATGGGCTCTACGAAGTTTCCGGGAACCCCGCCGAAACCCTACAGACCCTTAATAAGAACCCTGGAAAGGAACCCTGCTTTAATTATTGAGTCCCCCATATTACCACCAGCCTTAGAAAACCCTGGATCAAGTCTTAATGCTCGATCCTAGCCCCAACCATTCCCGCCCCCACCCCGGTGGTGCAGCGCCGGGTGCAGTGCGAAAGTGCCTGGCTCTGGGGGAGCTAGATTTAGCTTTTGGGGTTCATGGTTCTTGAGTAAACAAAGGATATTTAACATGTTGTGCTGTACTGCTGTACTATCATGATACGGGGCATTGCAAGTGCCAAAAGACCTAGCTGGGGTTAACGGTCCGAGCTTTAGGATGAAACGCTTGGGGCGTCAAGTTTGATCCTTCTTCTGGGGGCAGTTGTCTGCTCCCTGGCTCCGGGCTAAGCTAAAGCCAAGGGCACTTACGTACGCAAGAAGCCACAGAAACGAAAGGTTAAACATTCCTACTAAAGTATAAGAGCCCATAAAGTTTAAAGGTTGTGTATTAGGGATCTAAGCTAAGCTAAAGCCAAGGGCAGCTGACGAGGAAGGAGATCAAAGGAAGGGCTCAAAGATCGGCATTTTCAGCTGGATGCTCGGGCTTAGGACTTCGGGTGAGAGGGGTGGGGTATGAACGGCATATTGGCTCAAAGGAAGCAAATTCTTGAGGGCCATGCTAAAGCCGGCAATGCAATCTGCATTTTTAAACTCATAAGGAAGCAGTGACATACATGTCGTGTTTAGTTGCCAATAGTCTGTCCGTATATGCATAATAGCTTTTGGTATATATGTATATATACATATATACATAGACATAGATATAAATACATACACACACACATCCACGACATACACACCATATGCAACTGTCTCTATATCTACACAAAAGTTCACACGTCGTCATCTGGGTGCCGCAATTGAAGCTGTAAGGAATACTTGTGGCAGAAGTATCCTCGCCGTGTCAAGGGTTCAGGAGTTGAGGTGGAGTAGGCCCCTCCCATCATGTGCAGCTCCTACCATTCAAGTCATGGAACACCATACGGAAAGTGACTCCTCGAATAATCTCATAAACCCTAAATCCTTGTTCCCTGAGCCGTTCAGGAAACCAGGAAGTACGCCAGCACTGCACTGGAGATTCCATGACTTTGCAGTAGGCCAGCAGGGCCTGAACAGGAAATCGGAAATCGATGCCCCACTTTCGAGATTTAGGGGTTTAGGGTTTTGTCCTTCGGCTATTAGAGTTTAGCCTTTAAAATCTTGGCTGCAGCTGTGGACGGAGTGGCCCCTGCAACGGCTGAAGCTTTAGACTCTGCTGCCTGGGGGTTCGGATTTACAGTAAAAGCCAGAAAGTTGGAATATGATTATCCTAAACCCTTTTTGGTAAATTATAGGGTATCCTAGCATGAAACCATATTCCAACTTTCTGGAGGTCCCTTTACTAATATGTACCCTAAACCCTCAACCCAAAACCCTTATAGAATCCTTATAGATCCCTTAAAGGAACCCTTATAGATCCCTTTAAGGAACCCTTATAGATCCCTTTAAGGAACCCTTATAGATCCCCTAAAGGAGCCCTTATAGATCCCTTTAAAGGAACCCCTAAAAGATCCCTTTAAGGAACCCTTATAGATCCCTTAAAGGCTTTCCAACTTTCTGGAGGTCCCTTTAAAGGGGGTTCCTTTCGAGCCCGGGCCCGGCGGAGGGCACGGTGGGACCCAGGGACTCCACAATCCCTTCATTAAGGAATACCTAGGGACCTAGGGCTCCTTTAAGGGATCCTTTAAGGGATCTATAGGGTTTAGGGTTTAGGGGATTCTAATACCCCTTCATTAAGGAATCTAGGGTTTAGGGTTTAGGGTTTAGGGGTTTAGGGTTTAGGGTTTAGGGTGTGTCACAGTGCCACGGCGCGCCCCACCCATGGAGTGGTCGTGGGTCGCGCCGTCTTCGTAACGTGGAACCCACCCACAACCACCCGAAGCAGGACTAGAACGGGTTTTGTGTTCTGCTTCTTCTTATTCGAGCGCTGCACTAGCCGAAAAGACGTTGCAATGTTGCGGAACGTCAAAGGGACATCCGAGTGATGTAGTCACAAAATAGCAGCGACGCCCTCGCTCGTCCTCGCCGGCCGCCAGAGTCGTCCGTCAGCCGTCGTCAGAGTCGTCCGTCAGGGCCCAGTGCCAGGCCTCCAGAAGTGGTCTGCAGCCGTCCGCTGTCCGTGCCAGTCCGGCCAAGAGTGCTGATCATCCAGTCGGCCGCCAGGGTTTTTTCGCCCGGCAGTCCGTGCCAGAATTGTCCAGCTTTGCCGCCAGACTCGCACTCCAAGCTCCTTGCCAGAGTCGGCCACTGTCCCCAAGCTCTTTCTAGGACGTCCCGTCCCCGTCAAACTATAGTCGTCAGCCGCCAGAGACGTGAAACAGACATTTCCGCCTGGCCACGGCACTGTGACACACCCTGTACAGTGACGGAGCTAAGTCGCATCATGCTTGTTGGATCCCAGCCCACCTTGTGGGGAAGCACCCGGGGGGGGTCGCATCACCGGGCGTCTACTTGGGGATACGTGATTATGTTGATTCGGGAATATTGAGAATTGAGTGCTGAAGCTGAATTTACAGCAATTTACTTGCAGATTCGTTCTCTCCGTGTTACTTGGTGCTTGCTGCGTGCTTGCGAAATCGAGCGTCTACATGGGGAACGGCTGGTTTTTGTTTGCTGTTTGATTCGATGTCGCTGATGTATTTCTGGAGCGGGCGCTTGCTAAAGCGAGCGTCTACATATAGGGAATGGCTGGTTTTGATGTGCTGTCCGCTGCGATGCCACTGATGTGTTTCTGGAGCGGGTGCTTGCAAAATCGAGCGTCTACATGGGCAACGGCTGGTTTTCATGGGCTGATTGCTGCAAAGCTCTTTTTGGAGGAACTGGGTCCCCGCAGGGTCACCCCGCTGTCCCCGCCAGGGTCGCTTGGTCAGGGTCGCCGTCCCCGCCAAGGTCCTTACGCCGTCCTTGCCAGGGTCGTCCGCCGTCCCCGCCACGACCGCCCGCCGTCCCCGCCAGGGTCGTCCGCCGTCCTCCAGAATCGTCTGCCAAGCTGTTTTTGGCCTTTTTAGTTGCTGTCAAAGCCAAGTGCCCGCCAGAGTGTCCGCCGTCCCCGTTAGGGTTGCCCGCCGTCCCCGCCAGGGTCGTCCGTCTGCCAAGCTGTTTTTGGCCTTTTCGTGCCTGTCAAAGTCATCGCCAAGTCCCCCAGAGTTGTCCGCCGTCCCCGCAGGGTCACCCGCCGTCCCGTCCTCCATCCCCTCCAGAGTCGTCTGCCAGGCTGTTTTTGGCTTTTTCAGTCCCTGTCATATTCGCCAAGTCCCCGCCAGAGTCGTCCGCCGTCCCCGCCAGGGTCGCCCGCCGTCCCCGCCAGGGTCGTCTGCCGTCCCCCTCCAGAGTCGTCTGCCAAGCTGTTTTTGGCCTTTTTGGTTGCTGTCACAGCAGAGTCGTCCAAAGTCGTCCGTCCACCAAGTCCCGGCCAGGGTCGTCAGCCGTCCCTGCCAGGGGCTCGCCATCCCCCCGCCAGGGTCGCTCGTCAAGCTCTTTCTACCGTCCCGTCCCCGCCAGGGTTCTCGCGCTGGGAGATAAGGCGCCATCCCCTCCAGAGTCGTCTGCCAAGCTGTTTTTGGCTTTTTCAGTCCCTGTCAGAGTCGCCAAGTCCCCGCCAGAGTCGTCCGCCGTCCCCGCCAAGGTCGCCTGCCGTCCCCGGCCCTTTTGCTGTCACAGCAGAGTCGTCCGCCGTCCCCGCCAGGGTTGCCCGCTGTCCCCGCCAGGGTCGCGCGCCGTCCCCGCCAAAGTCGTCCGTCCACCAAGTCCCCGCCAGGGTCGTCAGCCGTCCCCGCCAGAGTCGCCCGCCATACCCGCCAGGGTCGCTCGTCAAGCTCTTTCTACCAGGTCCCGTCCCCGCCAGGGTTCTCGCGCTGGGAGATAAGGGTACCCAATTTTACTATTGTGCCCCATGGCTAGCAGTGCCAAATCAGGTCTGGTAGACTCGATCTGCTTGGCCAAGCAAGCAGATCTCGAAGCGGTAGCGTTCAGTGGTACCGGCCGCCGCCGGGCGCGGGCGGCCAATGGTTTAGGGTTTAGGGTTTAGGGTCTAGGGTTAAGGGTTTTTTTTTTTTAAAGTGCACTGACCTTTCTCCGCTTCGCCAGGCAAAGCAGGAACTGAGCCCGCCTCCCAAAGGGGCTTGCACTGTACCGCAAGCATACATCACACATTACGGCTACGACTACGACTCCTCTCACGTATGGGACGGTTCACTGACTGCTGTGTGCCTTGCTCACTACCGCCATCCGTATCGTCAGACTCGTACATTGGGAACCCATCCGGACCCCAGTGCATGCCATCAGAGGACGAGCTGGACCCAACTGCTGGTGGACCTGTGGGGGCCAACATACCTGTTCCATGTGCGAAAGCTCCAACATCGGCAGGTACAGCTCCGTCACCCTCAGCGAGTCCAGAAGGTTCAGCATCCGCAGAAGGTTCAGCATCAGCAGAACGATCAGCATTCTGAGAACGAACAGGAAGTCCAGGAGGCGCAGGTAGAACAGGAGGGTCTTCACGTCCATCAGCAGTAGCCACGGCACGCACTCCACCAGTACGGTCTCGACGGGAAGTGCCAGAGCGCCCACCACTTGACCCAACGGCACGCCCAGCTCGCATGGCAGGAGGGCGCTCTGGAGGAACCATGCCAGGTACTTGTTCAAGAAGGGGGTCAACGTCCTCACGAACCATGCGGGGCGGCGGCCGGTTTGTGCGGCCTCGACGTCGACCCTGCATGGGCAGCATCTGTATCGGACTCTGTGGTCGCGGCACATCCGCCGGCCAGTTGGCGATCGGCCTCCCCGGGTCTACTTGTACCAGGTACAAGTCTCGGTCCGCTTCCGCACGCCAGAAGCCCTCTGGTGTCTCAAGCCCCTGTCCAGCATACAGCGAGCGGACGTGGTGTCTCCAGGCACGGCGTCGATACCCAATCACCACATGTGGCGAGGTTGCCGGCAAGGCCATCGTGAGTTCATCCAGGGACGCAGGGAATCCTGGCTGTAGCAAGACCGACGGAGCCGTGACCCACTGTGATGTCCCCGAAGAGCTCGGTGCCGAACCATGGCCAGCCTGTGCAGTGACTGTCGACCAGATGTTTCTGTCATACGTTGCCGCATTCATCGGGACGACATTTAGATCCACGTGGATCCAGTGTAAGGCTTCTTCAATGGCATCCGCCGTCAGCCGTTGGAGGTGACGAAGACGTCTCTGGCGATCAAGGAGTCTGCGGATGAGGTCCACCACGTCTGCCTGGTCCCCGTGGACAAGGTTCGTATTCACACAATCCCGAACAACATCAGCCGGCCACGTCATCTGTCTACTCGATGTGCTCGTGGTCGATGTAGTGGAGGTAGTAGAAGGGGACACACTCGTTGCCAGAGTTTGTACCATAGATACACAGTCGCCCAGGCTCTCGACCTCATCCATTGGAAAGGGCTGTAGCGGGAGCCACCACTTCGGAGAAAGTCGTCCGTCATCCGTCCCATCCATCTCAAGCAGACCCTCATCCCACATTGTTGTTCGATTTACCGTCGAGGTGGTGCTTGTCGTGCTCGTCGTGCTTGCGACAGGTTCCCCATCCTCTCCAACTTCACGCCAAATGCCAACAGGTTCAAGCGTGATGAGACCAGGTGGTAAGTTCACTGGTTGGGGCGGAGGAGGGCCGTTGGGCAGAGCATCAGGAGAAGCGGGTGGGACGCGAACAATTTCTCCCTCACTATTATAGGCGTACTCGCTGTCCCCGACAGAGGCAGCGCTGGAGGACCTTGCTGGTGATCCTTGTGCCGAGCTCGCAGGACTGGCTGCAACATCCCGACTGTGTAGAGGCGGTGAACGGCTCCTGGAAGGTCTCCCCGTCGATCCCGATGCTTCTTCTTCCTCCGACGCGAGCACAGACGGTGGGGAAACAGCCTCATCATCACCTTCTCCTGGTTGTAGAGGTGTCGTGAGATGTGCTTCCAAGAGGTCCTGGATCAGGTAGCCGAATTGTCGTCCCCACAGTACTTGTCTGCGTCTTTCGGTTTCTCGTGCTGGCACACGTTGTACGGGTAGCACTCCACGAGGTCGAAGTCGACGATGTAGTATCCTGACGACTGCATTGGCGGCCTCCAGCGACTCACGAACTCGTTGGAGGTTGCGAGCCAAAGCCCATCGACCTTCCGGTCCTGTACCTCGACACTGCTGCCCATCGAGGGCCACTAGCAGCTCTGCCAGGCGTCGTCGGATGTGCTCCGGGACTCCATGTTCTTGTAATGTCGCCGTCTCACCATTGGTGATTTCCATCAGCCCTTCGCCAGTCCAGTCGAGACCTCGGGGGGTAGGGCGAACTTCCGGGAACAACCCTGCGTTTGGTATGACGACCAAACTTGAGGTAGAGGTCGTAGTTGATGTCCACCTCCACCACATCCAGTGTCGCGAGCGCCAGTCTCCGCCCCAGTCAGTTGTGTGATCACAGCTTTCTCCACCTTCATATCCTTGGCTCGTGTGTGCGGAGGCCCCTGCGGAATCTGTCGGCGTCGGCCACCACTCATCCCACGAACTGGACGACGAGGTGCCTCCTTCTCCATGTCCGCATGGAGGTTGCCAGTCCCAGGTACTCGAGGAGGTAGATGAGGACCAGGAGCCCGAAGAGGAGGTCCACCATGTAGAGGCCATCTGCTGCTCATTTCGCTGTTCCTCGAACGTTGTTGGTTGTTCAGCGGGTTGATGTCCTCTCAGAGTGTTCGGCTCGGAGGGGACGTCGGCTGTTCCAGCTGCAGAAGTGTCCACCACGAGACCTACCTCCTCATCCTCTGCCTCCTCCGTCATCTCCGAGACTCCCGGGAGTGTTCCACGTGCTTCACGTTCACGTTTCTCCTTGATATAAGCAAGCATCCATGCTGGTTTCCATCGTCCCTCGAAGTAGCTCTGCATTCTCATCTGCCTCTTCTTCATCCTCTGCTCGCCTTTGCCACCAACATGCTGACGTAGTTCCCACGGGGTTCTCGTTCTTGACTGCCAGACACCATGTCGAAAGAAGCCTGTCGAAGTGGACGAGTCCGAGCCACCATCGTCATCTGCTTCCTCTCCAGTGTCAGTGGTGTTCCCCCCCGCCGTAGTTGAGTCACTGTCTGGGTGGTTCGGCGGGGTCGACCAGACCTCGAATTTGTCCCCGTAGAATGTGACCGCCTGGATGGTGGGCTCACCCTCATGCGTGCCTGTATTGACCACACTAAAGGGTGCCACTTCGGCTTCCGTGGAGGTGGCGGTGGCGGCGGTGGCGGGAGGGGTAGTCTGTGGCAGCGCATCGCCCGGCAGTTCCCTTAGGCGACACCTCACAGTCCCATCGGCGTGGTGCCACCGATCTCGCCCCGGGCGCGTTATTCCGAATCTGCTGGTACGACCATCATGTTCTTCCCCATGTTGCGGCACGTCAGCAGGTTCTGCTGGAGGATCTTGTGGAGGACGACGTCGTAGGGCTCGTCGATCTCGCACTGCGTCCCACCAACTCGGTACTTGTTCTCGCGTGTGGTCTGTAGCATCGGCTGCCTGGGCGTTCTCTTCAAGGTCCCTCCCACTGTGCGCCGATCGGGTCTGGACATCCGACGATGATGTCGCCCCAGTTTGTGGTCCCGGGGTGCAACCAGAGGTATCCCATGAAGATGACGCCCCAGTCTGCGAGTGGGGATGCTGAACAGCTCGAGCTGGGGTTGGGTCGCCACGGGCTGGTAATCCCGAATCGTGGTCTTCGGCTCGCTGTACATCTTGCGGAGGATCGGCTTGGTGTGCAGGAGGTTGAGATCCCAGGGCAAGTAGAGGAGGAGCGGAGAAGGGCAGCGGGACACTGTGGGCGGGTGGGATCGTCGGGGTCCACGAAGATGTAGAAGAGCTCGCCGGTTCATCTCCAGGCCAAGGCCATTCCTCCACCTCCTGGAGGTATTGTTGCTGCATGGAGAGGCTGATATTTTCGTCCCAAGTACACACGGGGTCGTCATTCCAAGCCGCCTCACGCATCAAAGCAACTTCAGCCTCACTCCATGTTCTTGAGGGCATTGTCGGCGGCGCAGTCGTCCACGACGAGGTTGCGGAAGAGGCGGCCACAGCAGCTGGCCACGAGGGTGAATCATCCGTCTGCTCCCAGCCCTGCGGAGGTGAACTAGGGTCACTCCAGGAAGTTTCCTCCCAACTTTCTGCCGCAACAGCAGCAACTTGTTCCGGAGTCCAGGGCATCCAGCGAGGAAGCGTAGCACCTGTGGAGGGGGTCGTTGACGTAGTAGACGAAGTCGGCCATGTCCCAGAGGCCACGGCTAACCACATACATCCCAAAGCGGAGAAAAACATCCCGCCCGGCAAGAGGCGAGGGGCCATGTAAGTCGCAAGGAGAGAAGGATTCCTCACAGTTCACCTCGAGCCAGGACAAGTGTGACGGCATAGAACATCATTCACATCATAAACTCCAAGATATGCATCATGGCAATGTTGAGCAGCACGTGTGCAATAAACTCACAACCGCGCACGTCCATGGACAGAGCAAAGTTTCAGAATGGTGGCTCAAAGGACTGGCAACTGGCATGATCAACGCGAAGAATCAATCCATGGTGCGTCCCATGGAGATCACAACTTCGCCTACGTGAAAGCAAGTCGCCTACCATTTCCCACCGAGTCAGCTTAGTAGCGCAAGGACAGCTGTCGTCCACGACACCATCTAACATCCCACATCTGGAGATATTCATCTCGTGCCGCACTCCACCAGTGGCGGTTGGCTGCAATTTCAGGCCACCGAACACCATGACAATTTGCAAGTTGCTTTTCAACATTCGCAGCATAGAAGCGGCCTGGGTGCCTTTCACTGGTGCTACGACTTAACTGTTGTTGTGTACGCCACCAACATGTGTTCTTCCACCGTAACGCTCGCATGGCCAAAGACGGGATCACCCGGCCATCAGCAAGGGTTTAGGGTTTAGGGTTTAGGGTTTAGAAACTATAGTAGACCCCCAAAAATGATTTAAGGGAGATTCCTTAATTAAGGGATCTTGCAGTCTCTGGGGAGTTTCTGATTTGGGTGAGGAGTTTCGTCATCAGCTTCTAAGCGCATGCGGAGCTCCGATGACGAAACCGACTCCATGAGTCGGTGGCATTGTTTTTGGCTTGGGGTTGCGTCCTTTAGTGTAGCTTAGGGTTTAGGGGTTTAGGGTTTAGGGTTCCGGTTCTGGGGCTTGGGAGTCGAGGTCAACTGCAAGAATGTAGATTGCGGAGCAGTCGCACTGACACATTGAAACTTGCAACAGCTTGTATCTTCTCTAGCACTACTCCTTAAGACTCGAGACATGGGGAGCCTCGAGACCAGCTATACTCCACATCAAGCACTCTCTGAAAAAATCAAACCCACAGAGTCCTAAGTACCTATATGGGGCATACTTTCCCAATACATACTAGTACTCTCTACCATAGAAACCCTACATTCAACTATACCTAAACCCTTAACCCTTAAATAATTCGGACCCTTTCGGAAACAACAACCGGCTCCACCTCGTCGTATGCAAGCCGTGTCGCGCCTCACCAGAGTAGTACTTTGCTTGAGTTCTTTGGGCCTTGACCCTCAACCACTGTAGGGACTTCGGGGTTTATAGCTTAGGGTTTAGGGCATAGGAGTTTAGGGTCTAGGGGTTTAGGGCTGTAGGGACTTAGGGGTTCAGGGGCTTGAATGCTCGGTGCGTAGGTCTAAGGGTGTTGTAAGGTGTCGAGAGTTTCGAGATGTTCAAGAAGCCAAGCCGCCGCATGGGAGTTGGCATGCTCTGTAAACCGCCGAAGACACGTCGCAAAGACAAAGAACTCTTCAGACGAATGGTTTACCTACGTCGAGCTCGAAAACCACTTCCAACAAAGGATCCAGCGAGCTCTCCTTATTTAGGGAAAGTCCCTTCCTTATCTATTGCTATAATAAAAATTGAGGGTTTAGGGTTTTAGGGGTTAGGGTTTAGCGATTTAGGGGTTTAGGGTTCAGAGTTTGGGGTTTCAGGGCTTCGGTTTGAACAGATTTCGGGGTTGAGGCTGCTCCAGGCAAGCTTCTGGCTGGAGCATCGACCCATAGAACCCCGAAAATGACAGTATGGGGCTCGTAGAATCGTAGAAGCCTGAGCCGAGAACAACCTCAAACCCTAAACCCTAAACCCCTAAATCCGGAACCCTAAACCCTAAACCCAAAACCCTAAAATGCATGGATGTTGTGACCCATTGAACATCATCGAGACGCAAAGCTGAAACTGTCAACCACGCTGACCTTTCTGCTCCATCAGTACTACGCTTACGATGATTCAGGCTACTCCTACTCAAACATCTGTACTTTAAGTCCCGAGACCTAAGCACATAAAACCGAAGAAGATCCCACGTGCTAGTTTACTGTTTACTATGATTCAGGCTACTCCTACTCCAACATCTGTACTATAAGTCCAGAACCCTAAGCACATAACACCGAACAGGAACCCACCTGCTACTCCCCAGGCATGTTGGGGCCCTAGACTCCTCGGTCCCATCGATTCCCGAACTCTTTAAGATCAGATAATGCAGGAACCTGATTAAGAAACCGCGGGCCAATAGTAAGGATGCTAATAAGAATCCTACTATTTTGGGGTTATAAGCCCGGGGTTTCTTGATCAGGTCCTACATTAGTCCCCTAATTAAACCCTAAACCCTAAACCCCAGACCCTGAACCCTAAACCCCAAACCCTAAACCCCAGACCCTGAACCCTAAACCCCAAACCCTAAATCCAAAACCCTAACCCCAAAGCCCTACCCAGCAGCAGAGCTGGTTATGGGGACCTGCTTGGGTGCACTCCAGCCAAAGGCCACGGACCTGACCGGAGGCGGAATGGGGGTTAGGGTTTAGGGGTTCAGGGGTTTAGGGTTTGGGGGCTTTGATGAGGTTTTTTTGGTTACGTCTTTGATAGGGTGTTATAGGGTTGCTTCGGATCGAACGGGCTTCTCGGTTTCCCATATGACGGTACTATTTCGAGCAGGGAATTGGTAGATTATACCCCGCAGCTGCGCTAAGCGTTCAGCCACCTTCTATTACTGTATTCAAAAGGGTTCAGGGCATTCTTGAGCAGATGCCAGCTACTGTTCTTAAAGCCTCGACCCTATTGCATCGGGTGACATCCCGTCTCAGCTCGGCACAGAGTACAGGGTTTTGGGGCACTGGGGCACGCCCTCATGAGATGTCTGTCTAAAATGGCGGCTATCCGAAGTACGACGCCTCCTCAATGAACTGCACAGCTGTGTAGATTCCCAGAACGCAAAGAAAAGGAGGCAGAAGCCCCTAAGACCTACATACAAACTTGTTCGAACCATATCTCTACAATCAAGGGGTTGAGCTTCAGTTGCTTTCGCTCAGGTGCGTGCTAGGGCCCGAAGCTAAAGCTTGAAGATCTTCCGGCTGTCAGGGACTTTCGCTTAACCCTTCTTGTGGAACCTATGGCAGAGGGGGACCCTGACGGTTAGAAAAGGGTCTTGAGGCCCGTTAAAGTATAGCTATCATAAGGAACCCCCAAAATAGTATGGGTACCTATTCCGGTCCGTCAACCTAACACCCCGTATCGAGCTTCTCTCTGCTTTCAATGGATCCCTCAACATCGTAGCCTGAACCGCAGCTGCCCGCACATGTCAAAAGGAGATGCTAAGAGCACCATTTTCTTGCAGGGGCCTTAATAATTAGAATAGGGCTTTGGGGCATCTTATACCGTATCTAAGAATATTCTTGGAAATTAAGCAAGCTGAAGAGGCCTGTGCCGGAGTTAGCTCGACGCTGATCTCCAGCAGAAAGGGCCTCATCGAACTCTGTGCGAAACGGTGCCGTGTTTAGGGTTCAGGATTTAGGGTTGCCAATGTGAGTGGGGCCTTATTTGAATACTCTCCAAGCCCTAAACGGTACGGCCACATTGCCCTCCACACTTTATAGAAACCTTATAGAATCCTTGTAGCCCTTGTTGCCCTAAACCCTTGGCCCAAAACCTTTAAACCATTTTAAACCTAAACCCTAGGCGTTAAACCCAAAACCTTAAGCCGTCTGTTGCTGCAACCCAAAACTGAAGTCTCGCCTTTCCTTGCACTTCTGACGTTTGGGCTGTTGGCAGGTTCGGGCTTCAAGGTTTAACCCTCAACCCCTGAACAACCCTAAACCTTGAAACGCTCACTTTGGCGCTCGTCTTGTGAGTGCTCGTCTCTACTGCAAGGCAGGAGTTCCAAGCTCGCTAAGGGTCTTTTAGGGTTTAGGGTTTAGGGCTTCCTGTAGGGCTTCCTTGAAGGGTTTTGAGAATCGTTTCGGATTCTTCCAAAGGGCTCTCTAACTGAGGGCCTTCATAAGTGCAAGTTTTGGCGAATAGACAGTATATAGTATTGCGAGGGGCCGAGGGGTTCAGGTTTAGGGTTTCGGGTTCAGGGTTGGGACCCAGAAGACCCGAAAGCCCTTAGCAAAGGAGTATGTTTGCAGCATTATTGCTGATACAACTTCAAGTCTACTGAATTTGGGGCATTCCGCGTTTGCTTGGTGCTTGGGGCTTGAGACATGAAGACTCACAAAGGACAGGTATGCCGGGAAGCTTACATCCTGAACTCTGTGCGTGACTGCATTATCTATGTACACAAGAGAGCGACGACGACATCTTGGGTGGCTGCTGCTGCCGAGGACGGTGGCGACAGCTAGTACTAAGTATCAACGGGGGTCGTGGCAGCCAGAAGCACAACCGTCATTCTAGCAGCAGTCGTTGCATGCTAACACTCTTTATCTGTCAGCGGCACTGATCGAAAGAAGCATTAAACCACACAACCTGAAACCCACAACACTAAACCCTAAGCCCCGCACTTTAAAGCCTCTGCCCTGTTTAAACCCTAAAGCCATCGGAAAGCATCAGGCCTGAAGTCGGCTTGGCTCAGCGTTCCTCTACCTTGACCTTGGGCAGATCTTCTTCTTCTACGCTCGAAGATCAGGATTTCTAGATGATTCTGATGTCTGAAATTTGACTTCGAATGCTGATCTTAATTGTCTTCATGCTACTGCTGCCAGTACTAGCTACTATACTTACGGTCTGAATCTACTACTGCTGAGCTGTTGTGTTTCTGTTGTGTTTGTCACTCGCTGTGTAAAGTCTCTACATCTGCTGCCTTCGGCCAGGCACATTGGCACATCTTTGCGTAGTTGTGTCTGGTTGTATATGTATGGTTGGTTCGCCTGCGTTTTGATTTCGTCATGCGACGAGCTTACAAACAGCATATTTCCTTAGTTGCAGGCGTACAGTAAGACAACACTTCAAGCATGCTACAGACTGCAGAGAGAAGAATTGCAGCGGCGGTGCTCAGCTTGGGTCGACCGATACGCACTTGCGATGGCAATCGAGGCAGCAACCCTTTATGGTAACACTCATGTACTTTTTCCGTAACTTGCCCTTTGAGGCAGCCCTGATAGTGAGCTTTATAGTAACTCTGATGAACGACTGATACGAATAACATGCTGAATACTTCTGTCGAACGCCGCCGTCTTCTGCAAGGTCGGGAAGCCCGATTAACCTAAAACCCTTCAGGGGTTCCAGCTTTCGAGTTCAAGTCAGTCCTCAACCCTGATCGAGATGGCCGTTTCCGAAAATAGGGGACCCCAATCTCGTACCCTAAATAGTAGGATCCTTGTTACAAGCACCCCAAAATGAGGTACCCCTATTCTCGGAAGCTCTAAACCCTTATAGAGCCCTTTGAAGGAGCCCTTATAGTACCCTTATAGTACCAGTAGCCCTTTGAAGGAACCCAAAGGTACCCCACATTTTTGGAAACTCCCATATGGTGCCCCGGCTCCACGCTGCGAACGTGCCCTGGAAGTGCTCCAACTGCTGCCTCCGAGGATGTGCGGTGGTCCAATGTTTCTATACTGAACTTAGAACCCTAGCAACAATTATAATTTTAGCTGTTTCTTAGGGATTTTCATAACCAAAAATTAAAAATTATTTCTAAATACCCCTGTAAGGTTTGCACCCCAGAGCTGAACGATCAACCGACAATCGTACGAAACAGCCCTTGTACCACAAAACCTTAAACCATAAAACCCTGAAGCCCTAAACCCTCAACTCCAAACCATAACACCGTCAAACCCTCAAAGAGTCTGTCTAGAGCCCGTATCGAAACTGTTTTAAACACCTTACTGGAACCCTAAACTCCTGAACCCTCTCCCCATCAAAAATCCGATCAATCCATATGACACCCCCCTCCCCTTCCCCCCTTCCCCGGCCCCCTCAAATAAAAACCGTTACGCGAATTCAAGCTCTAAGCCCTAAACCCTAAATTGATTGACTTATCGCCTGTCTGGCTACGAGGCAGTTGCCGGCCAACCTGCAGCCCACCTCCCTCCCGCCCGCCCTGCCTGCCTGCCCAATACAGTTCTGACTGTGTTGTACCAGGGTTCTTATATGGTTTTCCTGGTGCTAAAAATATTCGGATATCTAAGACTGAAGGATTGTATTCTGGGTCTAGAAATTCTAGGATGTTGAGTTTAACGATTCTTGGCTTCAAGGCTTCGACAATCTTTTGGTTTAGGCGGGATCCTCTTTGTAGATTTCGGGCATGAAGCTGTTCCACACGAGGTCTGGATCTACCCATCTCTCTGTCTAGAGTCTACATACACACAGAGACACACACAGAGGCGTATCTATTTTATTTACGCTCGGTTCCACAGTAGCCCCGTTATCATAAGGGTAGCCTTTCTCCTACTATTCGGTTGCAATAATGGGACCCTAAAATGAACTGGGCAAAAGGGTATAGATCCCTGACAGAACCCTTTAAGGATCCCTTTAAGGAACCTTTTGCATAAGGATCCCCAATTAAAGGGATCCCGGTACACTGCAGCCCCCAAACAAGGCCTCGTTGGCTTCCAGGAGTCGCTAAGGAGCGGCGGTGTCTGTGCAACGGTTTTTCTTTTCGTCGGGTGGGGGAGGCTGGGCTGTGAATAATATAGGGGCCTTGATAATTAGAATAGGGTTCCTTTAAAGGGTGAGAAAAAAGGATAGAAGGGTATTGTAGTATAGGGGCCTCAATTTTCAGAATAGGGTTTTGGGGCCCAGTATACCATAGTTCTTATAAGGAACCCCCCACGATAGTAGAGTAGGTAATTATATCAAGGCCCCTATAATCTACGGTTCACGTGTGTTTGGGGCTCGAGCTTATAAACAATCGAGGATTTCAGCATTTGGGGTTTGGGTTCGTTTGGTTCTACCTATGAAGTCTACGGATTAGCATGCACGGGGTTTGCACGCTCCAAGGTCAGGCTTGAGAGTGTATTCACTTACATCCGTACAATACCGACAGTTGATTACACCGCCAATGCCAAAGCTGCGGAAGAGCGCGCCGTTCTATTTCGGCGAGCTGTTGTGGAAAGGATATAAACCGTGCATGCAGTCCGCCGACCCTGGCGGCGTGTTGGATGGGTTTCGATGGGCTTGGAGGTGTTAACCTCCCTTTTTCCCTCCTCCCACACCGAGATCCCGCACACCGGGCGCCCCCCAAGGGGTGGGGGGGTATCTCATGGCTGTTTGCAAGCAGCACCCAAACCCCCAAAAGCATCACACCACAGCCCACTGGGTTCAATCAGGCTGTAGGAGACCACCATTTCTTTCTCCTTTGCCTCCAAAAGCCTCCCTCCCCTCCCCCCCCCCTCCCCCTCCTCCCCTTCCCCCCCCCTTCTTCCTCTTCAACCTTGGCATCTCCGCTCCAAAGTGCTCCTTGTTCCTACTTCGCGTGATCGTCGCGCAGCCTCGCGTGCTTCCGCCTCTTCCCCCCGTGTTGTCTCACAATCTTAGAAGGGCACCAGCGAAGCTTGTCAACTTGAAGGTTCCCGTTTAGTCTCACAATCTTATTAGAAGCGCACCAGTGAAGCTTGTCGGCTTGAGGGTTTAGGACCACTAACTGCCATAACTTTTCTGGGCACCTGGTTCTCAAGGCTTCGGGGCTGAGTAGGTAACCTTTTGGGGCTCTTCTGATCCTACATGATCCTACCACAATTAAAAGGTTGACCTTTTATGGGATAAGATACCCAGCCACTGAGAAGATGTTCCTGAAACCCTAACCCTAAACGGTTCTAAAGGTGTTGAACATAGGGTTTCAGGACGGTTTAGGTTTCGGGTTTAGGTCCTGCGGTAAGGCTTTGTTTGCACTTCCCATCTTGGCGTCTCCTTCTAGAACTAAACCTACGGGCCTCGCGGACACCAAACGACTTTGCCTGTACAAGTGCATTCGGCTTCTGGTCTGTCGCCCACGGGGTCGGCGGCTTAAGCCGGAGGCTCTTAAATCGGGCAGCGCATCGCTGCCCTGTATGGACTGAGCTATGGCTCAGACGAATGAGCTTCGTCTGCGAAGCAGAAGCCACGACCGACAGTGCCGCCGACCCGCCCCGGACCCCGCATCATCGGACCCTCGTTTCTCCCTCGGGCCGCGCGGGGCCTGGCCCGAAGGCGTCTCGGAACGCGCACGCGTTTTGCAGCCATTCTCCGCGGTGTGGCGGGTTTCGGGGCCGCCGTGGACGACGCCAGGAGGCGAGCCGGCGAGCATCATGAGCCCTCGGGCGCCCGCCACCGGCGCGGGCGGCGCGACGTGGGCGCGAAGTCATATAACTCCCAAGTTTTTGAGTGGGTTGCGGAAGCCGCCAAAGGGCGCGCATCATGAGCATCAGCGGGGTCCGGCGGACGGGGGGGTGCGGGCTACATGCACGGCCGACGGGGGCTGAGAGCCTACGATCACCCACAAGTTGCGCACTTCGGGCCTACGTTGCACTTATCTATATACCGCGGGTTTCTGACAACAGCTCGCGCTGCCCGCACCTGGGCGCAGCCCCTAAATCGGGCAGCGCTTCGCTGCCCTGTATGGACTGAGCTATGGCTCAGACGAATGAGCTTCGTCTGCGAAGCAGAAGCCACGACCGACAGTGCCGCCGACCCGCCCCGGACCCCGCATCATCGGACCCTCGTTTCTCCCTCGGGCCGCGCGGGGCCTGGCCCGAAGGCGTCTCGGAACGCGCACGCATTTTGCAGCCATTCCCCGCGGTGTGGCGGGTTTCGGGGCCGCCGTGGACGACCCCAGGAGGCGGCGCGAAGTCATAACTCCCAAGTTTTTGAGTGGGTTGCGGAAGCCGCCAAAGGGCGCGCATCATGAGCATCAGCGGGGTCCGGCGGACGGGGGGTGCGGGCTACATGCAGGGCCGACGGGGGCTGAGAGCCTACGATCACCCACAAGTTGCGCACTTCGGGCCTACGTTGCACTTATCTATATACCGCGGGTTTCTGACAACAGCTCGCGCTGCCCGCACCTGGGCGCAGCCCCTAAATACCGCTTTATAACAATCGTGGAACCCCGGCAGCCGTCAAACCAGCCTTGTTGACCAAGCCCCTCTCGGTAATACTCCGATTGTAGAACTGGCCATAGACCTGCAAATGCAGCTTTGGTTTCAGGGCTTAGAGATTCTAGGGGAAAGAGGAGCGAAGACTTTTTTAGGGGATTGAATGGGGTTCATAAGGCTATGAACGGTTTGCAGATAAGGGCTCAGCGTTTTAGGCTTTCCTGAGTTGTGGTAAGGCTCGAGCCTGTTTTTGAGCTTTTTCCAATCTTTGAAGTGCTTGTGTTTGACGCTATCCCTCTCTCTCCCTCCCTCTCTCAACAGATACATGGAAAGGTACATAGTTAGACGGGCGGATAAAATACAACTAGATAGTAGTCAGATAGCTAGTCGGACGGCCAGCTAGCCAGCCAGATTGATTGGTTTTGGTTGTTTGATTGATTGATGGCTTGGTTGATTGTGTCCGAAGATGGAAGCACCGCGTTTGCTTAAGTTCAGTGTGCTTGAACATTGACGTCTGTCAGACTTCGTGCTAGGTGATACGGGTTGCTGGCAATATGCAACGCCTGCCATTGCTCATTTGGCTAGGATTTGCCGACCGAATCTCAAGAATATCTCATCGCATTGTCTGGCAGAATGACAGTCGGAGTTTACTGGGTTGGCCTTTAAACACACTGAAAAATATTTATATATTATATATAAGGTCCCTTATAAACACACATAAGGAAAATGAAACATGTCCCAACATCCAACCTAGTTTAGTACTAGAGGGGAGTGGGAACCCAAACTTTCAATTGCCACCCCAATCGTCATGGCACCAATCCCCCGTCTTACCAGGCCACGGTGGCTGGGAACCCATAGCACCAAAAACAAACCTCGCGAAGTACGTGCTCCAGAACCTCTGCAACTCTAACAAAGGAGCACGGGAGCTTGCAAAGCACATGTGCACGGCGACGAAAATGATAATGCAAGGGCATGGTGCTTGCTGGGTCCAGACCGACCCAGCCATCTCCGAACCGGAAGGATCTCTGAAGTCCCAAAGCCCGCGACGCTTTAAAACCCTAGCCCAGAATCGCCGGTGGCAGAACCCTTTGAGCCTGCGTATCAATGCCGAAAACGTCATGTCGCATGACCAGGGATTGCCCGGAAGCAGTCCCGATGACGTCACTCCCAAAGTTCTAGCGCACATACTACCCAGACCTTCCAAAATCCCTTAATTAAGGAATATACCTTAATTCATATTTGGGATCCTATGATAATTTAAGGTATATTCCTTAATTAAGGGATTTTGGAAGGTCTGGGTATCATACCTTTGGCCAAGCTTGTCAACCCAAAGCCCTATGCACACCTTAGACCCTCTGTAAGGTCTAATGCTTCTAAGCAGGTAATCTACCTACAAGCGTTGCCCCACTAATGTAGGGGCCTTAATAATTAGAATAGGGTTTTGGGGCCCATTATACTATAATCATAATAAGGAACCCCCACCATAATATTGGTAATTATTTAGGCCCCTATATTATGGCCTCATCGTTCCAGAAACGCGTCATGGCGCCAAAGGAACCAAGAGGCTTCTATAGACTCTTTAAAGAGACAGCGGAAGGAGTTGAGACTTTGGGGTTGACGCTTACTTGGAGGATCATGGGGCTTAGTAAGTAAGGTTCCTTAAAGGGCTTCTTAAAGGGATCTATAGGGTTCCTTAAAGGGATCTATAGGGTTTAGGGTTTAGGGTCTACTTGGAGGATCATGGGGCTTAGTAAGTAAGGTTATAAGTACCTTAATTGGGGTTATAAGTATAGTTACCCTGATTATAACCTTAGTTACTAAGTCCCATGATCCTTTAAGTAAGGATACTACAAGGGTTTCTGAAAGCGCTTCCGGGTTTGGGATCTCTGGGAGTCGGGCTTAGGGCTCAGGGCTTTGAGGTGTGTAGTGTGTAGCGGGCCCTAAAAGCTACTTAAAGGATCATGGGACTTAGTAAGTGGGGTTATAATTAGGATAACTATACTTATAACTACTTATAACCCCAGTTAAGTTTAATGCGCACAACTTTCAGGACGTAGGAACTCTCACGTGTGCGCATACGAGGGACTCGGGCCTTGACGCTATGATGTGTATGTTTGGGCTTGAAATGGGAGTTTCCGAAAATTAGGGTACCCTTATTTTGGGATCCTTACAATAAGGATCCTAGTATTTAGGGTACTGTATTGGGGCCCCCTATTTTCGGAAACCCCCAAATGGGGATGACGGTAATCGACGGCTTCGCACGCAGCCACGCACCCCAGTGTTTGAGACGCTCGAGGCTGCGACCGGAGGTTAGACCGAGGTTTGAAAGGGTTTAGGGGTTAGGGGTTTAGGGTTTTAGGGTTTCGGTTACATATGCCCTAGGCTGTAAGAATTGGGGTTTAGAGTTTAAGGTTTCAGGGCTGAGGGTCTATAGGGCTGCAGCATGTAGGCTGTAGGGCTTTAGGGTAGGCCTGGTGGCTGTTTAGTAGAGTGTAGGCGGGCTTGGGGCCAAGGAGAGTGGGTTTCAACCTCGGAGTTAAGACCACGTCTCGAAGGACCTTGTCCTGCATTGTGCTTTGGTGAGTAACTAGATGTAGTTAGTGGGACTCCTTTCTGTTATGCCCTGGTTCTAGACTCACTCAGCGAGGGCAGGAGACACATCAACCAGCAACCAAATGATTCCAAACCCCTGCAGTCAAAAAACCTAAACAACCGCACTGCCCTAAACTCTAAACTCGTCTCAACCCTAAAGCTAAACCCTATAAATCTCAATCTAAGACCCTTAAACCGCCCTGCCCCGAGCCCGAAACTCCGGATGTCCCTCCCGGGACCTTGAATCCTGCACAGACCCTTTGAATTTAAGTCCTAAGCAAGGATGCCCAACAGCACTGAGAGTTTAGGGGTTTAGGGCTTGAAGATACATAACCGTTAAGGAAGGAACATCAGGTACAACCCTGAAGCAACAGTACGTAATATTATACGGGTACTAGTAAGGGCCTTATGTATGGATGTTACAGAAAAAAAACTGTTACTGAGTGCGCGCGGTATCCAAGAGGTATATCCCTTGAGGCAGTAGAAGAAGCCCCATGTAATTGGTGGCCCTTCACCGGGCTGTTTTCTGGTTAAGGCATGAAGTACAAGCATGTAGAAGAATCAATACAGCAATCATTTGTCACCCATGCTCCAACGCCCTAGAACAGCCTCAGCCCGAAACTCTTATGGAACCCTATATAGGATCATGTTCCACATAATTAGACTTAATTCTAGCTTACGCCCTAACGCATAAGCCTCAAACCGTCTGCAAGGCCTGCATCGCACGCCGGAAAGCATGGTACCTCGACAGGGTAGGGGTCGGCATCCCTGTGTAGTACTGTGTACGTTCGGCTTCTGAAGGGGAGGAGGCGTAAATATCCCAAACCCAACCTAAACTCAGGCTTTACCTTTGACCCAAAGACCTACCCGTTTAAGGAGTTCTATATATATATATATATATATAGATAGAAACCATAATAAGGAACCCCAAAAAGGAAAAGGTCTTCTCGGCTACAGGTACCGTTGGGGAGCTGCGGGGTTTAAGGATTCAAGCTTCGGCTAAGAGGTGTGCGGGTTTGTGGAGTTTAGGGTTTGGGGTTTAATCAGGGTGTAGAGTTTAAGGTTTTTCAGGGTTTAGGGCTTATAGGGTTTTTAGGGGTTTAGGGTATAGGTTAGGCGTGATCCAGGATGGCTGCCGCATCCCTGCAACAGCATAGCATGCAGCTGGGCTTTTCTGCCTCACGCTAAAACCCTAAATCTATACCTTTTACAGTTGGCCCGAAGCCCCAAAGTAGTTCCTTTTTGGGGTTCATATACAGAACCCTATAAGGTAATCCCAAAAAGGAACTTCCATGGGGCCTTTGGGTAAGCTCGAAGCCCCAAAGCCACAATGGAGTTCGACAAAATCGGTGATGCCCCCCCAATCGGAATCTCAAAGTTCTTAAGTGCGATCCTTACCGTAAAGGAGGACAGCAGAAGAGGGCCCCGATATTGAAGAGCCCAACCCCACAAATGTCAATGGCCCCTTGCGAAGAGAGTGCCCCGAAATCGAAATCGATCCTCACCCGGGGCTCAGGCGTGACGGTTGCATTCTCCGTGGTCGTGGTGGTCCTCAAAGTGTGGTTGTTTACAGGGTTGTGATTTCATGAGATGGTATACGTTTGTTTTTCTAATCATTTTGTATATTGGGTTTCCCAGGTTTTACGGCTAGTCCAGGTTTTTGCTGCAGGAACCAGATTCCGTTCGGCAGTGTCATTATAATAGCGCTCATGAGTATGGAATCCTCATGGAACAGCTCTGTGCATGAGCAAGTTCACCCAGAAACCCGAACTTATGAGAGAGTTCACCTAGAAACTCGAACCCCGCCGCCGCTAGATCCTTACGTTGTGCATAGTAGTACGTAGAAAGTACTACCCATTTCCGAGATGCAAACTCCGATACTTTCGAGATTGAATCGAGAGGAGGGCTGAAATTGGACAAAGCCTCCTGCGCAGTGAAGAAATGGCAGAACTAGCTGGTTCCGCTTCGGTGTTAGGGGCTTATGCAGGAAACCCTTGTTATTATAGTTGAGGTTTCGAAGGCTCCTAAAACCTTTGTGCTACAACAGCCTGGCCGCACAAAACCTCATATGTGATACCGGTTCGGCCGCCCCCCCCCCCTGTGGTGTGGTTCGGGAGTGGGTCTGCTTAGGCTGGTTACCCCACTCCCCCCTGTGGTGTGGTGCGTGGGTCTCGTGTGGAAAAAGCTTGCACAGTCACACACAGATTCGGCTTGGGGAGCTGGGGGGGGGGGATACCATTGGGTGGGGGAAATCTGAACACTCATAGGGCCTTGCTTGTTTTTGACAGCTTTGGGGTTCGAGGGTTCGGGGCTTTAGGCTTCTGAGGGGCCAAGAACACCGCTTTCAGCAGGCCGCGCTGGCTTTATGCAGAGGCCTCTTCAGATAGACTAGGGTTTCGGGGTATATTGTGCTGTAGCTAGACTGTAAGCCACTGCAAGAAACAGCGTAAACTGTTAGCTTCATATGCAGAATACGGCTTTCGGGGTATATGGGAGCCGAAAAGAAAAATCATTGCCAGGCGGTTTTGCAAGCGATCGCAAAAAGAGAATCCTTAGGAGACAGCCTGAGGGTCCTACATTGGCGTTGTGGTGAACTGCTCTCCGGTGACGACCTGCATCATAGCTTCAGGGGTGAGGACTTCGGGCTTCGAATTAAAGGATACGTGAGATGCAACGACGCGTGTTTGCTCAAGCCTGAATCCTGAATTCCTCACCCCGCATCTCGTGGCTTTAAAGCTTCGTGAGATCCCCCACGACCGATCAGAAGCAGTCCCTGTCTAGCACCCTTGAGCTGAACCCTAGCCCTGTATTAACCCCAATCGCCAAGCCTGGACCCGGAAGCCTCAAATCGAGCCCTGGATCATCAAGCCGAGCACGGTGGCGCCTTCGCATGTCCGCGGGTATTGAAGTTCACTTCAAGCTACTACGCGCATGTATGCACGGATGGCTGGAACGACGGATGTATACATGTTTGTTGCCTCCATGCAGTGCAATGCACAGCACTGCAATGCGATGCAATGTAACATGCTGCAGTGTTATGTAGCATAATGTAGTGTTGTGTGTAATGTAGTGTAATGTAGAGCAATGTAGTGCAATCTAGTGCAATCTAGTGTAATCTATTGTTACGTAGTGTAATGTAGGGAAAAGTAATGTTATATAGTGGTATGTATGTAAGTATGTATGTATGTATGTATGTGTGTACAATTCGCGTGTTTGTCTGTGGATGTGCATGCCAGTGCATATGCCTGTATGTATGCCGATGTCGTGGATGTCGTGCTCGTTTCTGTCGGCACATAAAATTTGTCTTTGCACTTGTACATGCTTGCAAAGAGTGACTGCACGCAGTGCGAAGCCCAAGGCTACAAATGAGGGGGTGCTGTGAATGCGCGAAACCGAATCGGAAGCCCCGACCCCTGAGAAATGAAAAGTGATAACCCCTAAACCCTAAACCCTAAATAACCCAAGCAACCCTAAAACCTGAACCCTTGAACAGGCCTACACTTTCTATGAGGAAGATCTTGGTTAGCCGGTGCAA